TTTTTAAACAGGGTTTTAAAATCAGAAAACTATTTCAAACCTATCATTTTCTAATATCAGTTTGCGGTCGACCGCCACGGTTGACCGCCCTTGAGTCCAGAGACTCGGGATAGTTTTTGATGGCTCGCGGTCGACCGTGACGGTCGACTGGATGCAGTCTAGAGTCTTTTGTAGTCTGTCCAGAGCCGTATTTAGTTTTTGTTGTTGCTCGCGGTCGATCGCGAAATTCCCACGGTCGACCGCCGATCGCTCAATGGTCATTTTTATACAAAATCTGATTTCTGATTCTTTGGGCTTTTTAGTCTTTTGTTTGGGAATTTGGCTATTGTTTTCTCTTCCTATATAAACCCACAAACCCCCCACTACCAGACCAACAATAAGAGTGTTTTAAACAAGTTTAAGAAAGTTTTAAACAATGGTTTATGTTTGGTTTAAGTTTGTTTTAAAAGCTTTTAAGCAATTGAGAGTTTAAATCATCTCTCTCTCACTCTTGTCATTTATTGGAGAAGTTTTCTAAACTCAATCTAGCTTTACTTTTATATTGTTTGATTATCATTCTATTAAGCTAGTATTTATATTTGAGTTTAGTTGATTTAATTTCACTCATTGTTTACACATACGTACCCACTTGAGGTTATTGTATTTACATTCATAGTATAATTTGGGTTGTGGGTTTGTGACATTAAGAGTGAGCTTAATTGTGTTCTCATCTATTGTAGAGAACAACTATTATTGTATTCGTGCTTAATTATGAGATTCACTTTGTAATACACTTGTACACCGAGAGAAGTGTGTGGTGTGAGTCGGGGATCATCCCAAGAGGAGTGGGGTAGGTAACATACCTAGAGAGAGGTTGTAATTCCTAACACTTAAGGGAGACACGTCTGTGACCAACACTTAGGAGGGTGTAGAGTGGGATTGCAAGAGTATTGATTGTAAAGTTTTCGGTTAGCTAGAAAACCGAGTATGAGGTGTAAATGTTATTCAGGTGAACGTAGAAAACCCGATTGTGATAGTGGATTTCTCCTCGGGAGTGGGGAGCGGAGACGTAGGACGGAAAGTCCGAACTCCGTGATCATATTGTATGTTTTGCATTGTTTATATTGCCCTATCATAATTGTATCTTTAGTTTAGATTGTTTGTCCTTGTGTTAATTTATATATCCTTACATATATTTTATCATGTACCTCTTGGATAGGATATATCTCTTTATTCATATTGTATATTCTTGCTCATATCATATTGTATATATATCTTGCAATAATAATTCTTTAGTAAGTTTTAATTGGCATAAAATCGGATTAGATTAGCATAAGACCCTAATCACCCCCCCTAGGGTCTAACAGGATTTTGAGGTACATTCGAGGTACACTCAATATTGGTTTAGTTTATGAGCGGGACACTACAGGTAGGCAGTTATGTATTGGCTATGTTGATTCGGATTATGCCGGGGATTTGGATAAGTGTCGATCTACGACGGGGTATGTGTTTACTTTAACCCATGCGCCGGTGTGTTGGAGATACACCTTACAGTCAACGTTGGCTTTGTCTACGACGGAGGTAGAGAATATGGCGATTACGGAGGCTATGAAGTAGGCTATTTGGCTTTGAGGACTTTTAGAGTAACTTGGTATATCGCAGTGATCCGTCACCATTCATTGTGATAGCATGAGTGCTATCTATTTGGTAAAGAATCAGGTTTTTCATGCGAGGATGAAGCACATTAATGTTCGTTATCACTTCATTCGGGATGTTCTTGAAGATGAAGATGTGGAGATAGTGAAAGTCCACACGAAGGATAATCCGACGGATATGCTCACTAAGGTGGTTCCGAGCAACAAGTTTAATCATTATCGAAACTTGTTGCATATTCGTGCTTGTTGAGACCGTTGGCGGCCATTTGGGTGAATTACGTGAGGCTTGGTTCCTTGGGCAAGAGGATACGTAGGCAGTCTTTACGATGCAGCCGATATTGGATTAGTTGATTTTGATGGGGGTAAGAAACTCTCGTTCGGGTTTCCGACTTATTGTGGATTAAGTGCGTTGTTGTGAATTAACTTCACGGTGTACTAGACACAACAAGTGGGATATTTGGTTGCCTTAGTGTCGGCTTAGTTTTGGGAAAACTTCACCGAGGTGGAGAATTGTGAGTAGGAACTGGGGGCCACCCACGTGTAAGAAACATCCGAACGTGGTTTCGTTTCCGTGTGATGATGGCCCACTCGAACACCCAAGTCCTCTCCTTTAAATATACGAACCTAGGGTTTTGTGCTGTAGCAGGTGAAAGGGGAAAAAGCGGCTGCAAGCAGAAGAAAAAAAAGTGGTTGTGTGCAAGGAGTTTCGGCTGTGGTTATTTTTCGGCAGAGTAGATTTTTTTTTTTTGTGCAGCCCTTTTGTGCTTTTGAGAGGGTTTTTTGGCATCTCCTTTGCGAGAGATTTGAGAGTTTGTGTGAGGGTTTAATTTATATGATTGTAAACCCTATTTGTATTCTCTCCCTCTACTAGTAGATCTCCCCCCTCCTTGCCCCGTGGAAGTAGGCAATTTGTCGAACCATATAAAATTGATTGTCTCGCTGGTTGTGTGATTTGTAATAGCTTATTTAGGTTCCCTCGACAGGTCAGTCCTAGAACTGATAAGAGGAAGAGTTGATATCTCACTTTGTTAAGATATTTTGCTTAAGGTTCTTGTTTCCTTTGTGAAACGGGAATTCCTATTGTGATCTTACTCTCTTGTTGTGCTGCCGAGGTGCTGTCGAAATTTCCGCTGCGCACAACAGCAATAAATCCTTCTAGCTCTCTCCACCACTACTCTCACCATTGCCTTCTCCCTTTGATGCTACCACCACCATTAAATGTACATTGACGTTAGTATTAAATGTTCGAACTAAAATTTTAGCTTTAGGGGGGTAGTCACCTAGAACTTTTTAAGTAGAACTGGGATAATTGATAAAGTGGGATAATATTTTGACATTGGGATAATTTAGTGGAACAATGATGGGTAATTCTTAAAGTGGGATAATTTGGTAGGATAATTTGGTGGGATAATGATGGATAATATTATGAAGTTGCATAATTTGGTAGGATAATTTGGTGGGGGTAATGGTGGGTATAAATTACTATTATTAATAATTGTATATTAAAAATAATATAATATTGATAAGCAAATTCTAGTAATAACTATAAAATATAATGCAATAAAGCATCACTATTCATCTCAAATAATAAAATACCTTACAAATAAATAAAAATCTAAATTCCTACAGTGACTCGACTTCCATCATCACACATGGCTTCTATCATTCCACATGGCATCTGCCATAGAATTTCTCCAAGCTCCTATAGCTGCTAGTTGAGTCTGTAACTCGTCTTCTTTATCGGAGTCATCGTCTGCATCAGCAACATTTCGTGGAGCTTCTAGTGGAGGATCATAAATGTCGAAGTTCAAATCTCATAACATCATAAAGAAAGAAAAATAAGCATTTTTCAGTCATTAACCCTTTAGACCAATCTCATCATGATCGTTGAAACCAAATCAGCAAATAAATGAAATGTACACAGGAATCATCCATGACCGCTAAACAGATGATCGACATATGAACTATAAATATCACAATCAATTTACTCAGCCGATTTAATAATAATAGACATCACCGTTAACCATTCAACATCTAATCATCAATGTGATCGCAAAGTTGCTTTCTAACTTATAAAAAAGATAAAAGTAATACATCTTGAATATAATAATAAAAGCTATCAATAAAAGTAATACATCTTGAAGATAATAATAAAAGATCTAATCATCACAAAAACAAAGTAAAGACAGAAAAATGAACGAATGATTTACTTCATGGCAGAGAAATTTTCTAGGCGGAGAAACTAACCAAGAGGGAGGGAGACGGCGTTTCACTTTTTTTTCCCAATTGTATTCTTTCCAATGTGTGAGATAATTTGGGAGAGGAGAACTTATGGTTATATATATAAGTAGTATAATTTGTGGGATAATTATGACCAATTATCCCAATTCTAATTCTAGTAGAATTCTACTTGACTAACGCACCAAAAAAATAATACAGTTTTAGTTCTACAAAAGTTCTACTTGACTAACACTATAAAAAAATATCTCATTTCCTAGTTCTATGTGACTAACACTTTAAAAATTTATCCCACAAATTATCTCAGTTCCAGTTTTAAGTTCTAGATGACTAACCCCACCTTAGAGTTTACACACAATTTCAGAGTTAGCATAAAAGCGTCCTACCATCTTGTTTTGGTCCGTACTCTCATTTCCATTCCTTCTCTCGTCACTCCTTCGTTCTTCTACTCCTTCCTCTGTCCCCTTTCATTTTCTTCACCTTTTTCATCCAAAAACAACTAAAATTAAGAAAATAGCACCTTAAAGCAAACAAAAAAAATCTATATTTAACAAAATAACATATCAAAGTTAATTTAATAATACACCAAAATTAATAAGATGTTAATTTTAAAGCTTATATTAAATTCTAAAGTTAATTGTTAAATATTAACTTTAAACCTTTTACACTAATTTAAAAACCTTAAATGTTAATTTTAAAAATAAAATGTTTAATCTTAAAATTTTAAATGTTAAACTTTAGATGGTGTTTTAGCAAAAGGAGAGCGCCTTTGAGGGATGCAGTGGCGATTATAGGAGGAGGAGGAGAGATGATTGATAAAAGAGGAGAATTAAAGAAAGACTCTGATGGTAAAAATTGTCGTGATTAAGAAAGGAAAAGAAAGAGAAGGATGATGCCATGACACTAGTACAAAACAGAACAAACCAAACGGTTCTAATAACCGTTTGGACAAATAAAGATAGCACAAACGGTTTAAACCAGTTGGAACAAATGTCCGAAACGGCTAAACCCGTTTGGGAGTTTAAAAAAAACTCATACGATGGACCCAAATGGTTTTAACCATTTGGGATAACATACCCCAAACGGCTACAACCGTTTGGTTTCCCTAAGCACCACACCCCCCAAAAACCTCCATCCCTTGAATCTACCCCTGACATTTCCCCCGTTCTCCCTAACCCTTGATATTCAATTCTCCCCAAAATTTTCCACCGTTCTTCCCGATATTCCCCCTAAAAATGTCCCCAGCCCTCGAATCTTCCCGTCGAAACGTCCTTAGCACTTGAATCTTCCCCGTCAAAACGTCCCCAGCCCTCGAATCTTCCCCCTCGAAGTCCGATCGCGGACGCCGACCAACGCGCCCCTATTCCACCACCCTCATCTTCGCCGGAACTCTTCTCTCTTTCGTCGCCCTCATCTTCGCCGGCACTCTTGTCCATCGGCACTCTCGTCGGGAATCTAGCTCCTCCGCCTCATCCTCCACCGCCTCTGGATTCCACCGCATCCTCCTCCACCGCCTCGTCCTCAGGTCCCCACATCTCCTCTGTAATCTAGTATTATATAGATAGATGGCTTGAGTTTGGAAAGATAACGTGTCCTCTTTGTAGAGACAATTTGTTTCGGTTTGAAGAGAAGGACGATGAGTTGGATATATCTCTGATTGCTTTTGTCCATAACGGATGGAGATGGTGAAGCTTAGACTTGTTAACCTTTGTTACGTTCTGCGTTTAGCATTGTTGATCCATTTAGTTCAATTAGTTCAAAAGAGAAGGATATGTGATGCTTTGGATGAAATAAGGATTAAAGTGGCATTTGTTGCCAACTAGAAGAGAGAATAAAGTGAAATAATGAAATCATTGTGTGGAGTAACTTTATTCAAGTAATTCCCAGAAAAAATGTAGAATCAGTATTTTTCTTCAAGTACATGTTACTCTTTCGTATACTTTTTTCTCTTTCTTGTTGTGCCTTTCTGGTGAGTATGTATGTTTCCTTCAAGTACGCATCACTCTCTCGAGCCTCTGACTTCTTCCATCACCAATCACGACTTGCTGCTTTTTTGTACAAGCATTATGACTTATGAGGAATTATCGTCATCGATCGTCCATTTGAATGTGAATGCAAGCAATAAATATTGAAATTTTATTAAATATTGTAGTTCTTATGGTTAGATATCTGATATTAATATTGTTTAACTTTTGGGTTCTTCTTTGGCTGCTTCTATCAAAGATCTGAAATTAAGTAAACTAATACAGGCTAATGTATTTTGTCATGTCTATTCTGTGCAACAGTTTTTATGAAAATAGAAATTAAATTAACTAATAATAGTTGCCATCAGCGCTCCACTAAGTTTTCTCTTTGCTGATGTTACTTTGATTAAAATTTATGTCTAACTAATACAATGCTGACCTTAAATAGCAGGTAATTATATACATGTAGGGGGGTATCACCATCTAATAAATATTACTTGATTCAGTTTATGAACATTGCTTGATAATATTATCTAGAAGGCATTTTTTATATGTTGGTTTCATCACTAGCTAGCTATGAATATCTGTCTTTTAGTTAAACTATTATATCTTTATAGCCTAATAGAAGAAGCATGCATATAGTTTCCAGATCAGTATGCAGTGACATTTTATTTTTATTTTTTGCAATAATTCTATATTATTAAATTATAAAACCAAGGATTGTGAGTCTCTAATGTGCTATTGTTTCCATATAGCCTAATAGAAGAAGCCTGTATGATGAGTTAATTATTAGTTATCATCTCTAATTTTTTATAATCAATTCGCATCACCGGAGATGGTTATTACAGTCTAGAAATAATATAAGCATCTAAAATCGACTAATGAACTTTTTTGATTTATCGACTAATGTGTTATTGCTTCCATGTTACAATTTTTGGTTTTCTGAAAGATTACGAGTCTCTATCCAATGCAGTAAAATACAGTTGCATAGGAAAAAATAGTTGAAGTCTTTGAGGCAAGTATTTCAGTTCTTTGCTATTCAAAGAATCCAAATGTTTGTTGAGCTGGTGATTCATGCATCAAGCTAGATTCAGTCTTCTCTTCTTTTTTATAGTGTGTGTATTACATTGGACATCAAACTGATTCAACCTCAGATCTCACCTTTCTTCAAACACATTGATGCATGAATCTACGTATTAGGATAGCTGGTTCTGAATGAATACTAAAGCACATAGTGTTAGCTGATCAGAAATTTCATGTGTCTTGTAGAAGCTAGGAGCGACTGTTGTTTTCCGCTAGACACATCTTAAGTTATGAGTTACATTAATACCTCATGATTTAAGTAATATTTACATATTTTCTATTTTATTTAATAAGATGAACATGTTTAAACTTTTTGGCTTCTAATTGTAACCCTATATTCAAAGCAAAGTCACGATCATACTTAGCTTTTTCCCTAAATCCATGTTTTTAGAAGTCATTACTGATAAATCATTTTATTTAGGTTAGCATGGCCTGTAACTACATCAGAGATAAGGATTGGATGTACGTGGGTCGTGCAGAATGCATGCAATCTATTTTCGTTATTGGAGTTAGTGCTTTCATGGACTTTGTACGTAGACACGATATGGTCCGACATGGAAGACTCATTTGTCCATGTAAATTATGCGCGAATAGGTTGCATCAATTGGAGGAAGAATTAGAACTTCACGTAAATGATAGTTGAAGAGACATAGGTTGAGAAGAATGGCCTGTTGGGGATTTGAACAATCAAATCAAACCCTTGCCCTTCCGGACCTTGTGTTGAAAGTAGGAAAGTAGGAAAATTCACCAAAAATAAAGATTAAAACTTGCAGGAATAATAAAGGAGACGAACACACAGATTTAACAAGGTTCGGCAACGTGCCTACGTCCTTGGGAGCCACACCACACAATTCTTTTATTGATTAAAGAAGAAATACAAGCTCTCAAACTACCTACGTCCTTGGGAGCCACACCACACAATTCTTTTATTGATTAAAGAAGAAATACAAGCTCTCAAACTAGGGTTTTATCTCCACACCACACAATTCTTTTATTGATTAAAGAAGAAATACAAGCTCTCAAACTAGGGTTTTATCTCTTTAAGATCTCTCTATCAAAAGCTCTCTCTTTTGATGGTTTTCTGATACTTGAAAAACCCTAAAAATATTTGGGTATTTATATCAAACCCAGCCCAAACAGATTTCCTGAACACATAAGGAATCTGGCAAATAGCATCATGGTCGACCGTGACGGTCGACCGCGCAGGTATCACGGTCGACTGCGATGGTCGACCGAACCAAAACCCGATAGCAGAAAACATTACAGGGTTGGCGCGGTCGACCGTCTTTAACTCCAACCTCTCCCTAACTCCTGTGCATGTTCGCGGTCGACCTTCGCTGACTCGCGGTCAACCGCCAGGCTAACTGGCAGTTCTCCTAGACTTTTTGGACTGTGTTCTTCATGATTCCAACTTCAGCTTCAACTTTGGTTCTACACTTTAGACTAACAATCTTTCACTTGGAGACTAAAGTGCTATCAGTGAGTTCACCCGAACTCTCCCCTTCTTCGCATGTATCTTCTCATCCCCAAAAAAATCCTTTCTTCAATCAACAATATCCCAGCGATCTCTCCGATCCTCATAGTGTGGCTCTGCCTTCGTCTTCTACTCGTGAAGGTCAACTGAAGTTGTGCACAAGTCTATTTTTTCAATGGTGACTGCCTTCGTCAACATGTCCGCCGGATTTTGACCCCCCAAAATCTTCATTAAGTGTAACTTTCCATCTTCAACTAGCGAGCGTATAAAATGATATTTGACGTCGATGTGCTTCGTTTTGGTATGATATACTGGATTCTTAGGAAGATGTATAGCGCTCTGACTATCACAATAAAGAACTCATCTCCCTTGTTTCAGATCCAACTCTTCCAAGCACCTGTTCAACCAGATCATTTCCTTGCTTGCTTCGGTCACTGCAATATACTCAGCCTCAGTTGTAGATAAAGTCACAATCTTCTGTAGACGTGAGACCCAGCTCACTGCTATCGACGCTAAGGTATAAACATACCCCGTTGTGCTTTGCCTCGTATCATGATCACCCCAAAGTCCGCATCCACGTATCCTTGCAGCACCAACTCCTTCCTCCTGAAACATAGTGGTTTGTTTGTTATTCCCCTCAAGTACCACAATATCCACTTCACAGCCTCCCAATGCTGCTTCCCTGGATTGCTTGCAAACATGCTCACAACTACCACTACATGGGTGATGTCCAGCCTCATGCAAACCATCGCGTACATGAGACTCCCAATGGCCGAAGAATATGTCACTCTTCTCATATGCTCTCTATCTGCATTTGTCTTAGGCGATTGATCCTCAGATAGCTTGAACTGACTTCCAAGGGGTGTGCTAACAACTTTAGCATTCTGCATGTTGAATCTCTGAAGTATCTTCTCAATGTATTCAGATTGGCTCAATCTTAACGTCCCTCCAGCTTCATCCCTACTGATTCACATCCTAGAATCTATTTTGTTGCACCCAGATCCTTCATTGCAAGCTCCTTTGCTAGCTGCTTCTTCAAACTGTTTATATCTTTTAACACGGTCCTGCTACCAATATGTCATCAACATATAATAATAAGATAATGAAGCTAGACTCGAACCTTTTGAAATAACAGCAATGATCTGAATTACATCTTCTGTAGTCATTGTTTTACATGAAGTTATCAAACTTCTTGTACCACTGTCTCGGAGCTTGTTTCAAACCATATAAGCTCTTCTTGAGCTTGCACATCATCTCTTCCTTTCCTTCTTCAATAAAACCAACAAGATGCTTCATGTAGATTTATTCATCCAAGTCACCATGAAGAAAGGCAGTCTTCACATCTAACTGCTCAAGAAAGAGGTCTTCTGCAGCTATCAAACTCAACATCACTCTGATGGTTGTGAGCTTCACGAAAGGGAAAATATCTCCATGTAGTCCACTTCTTCCCACTATTGAAACTCCTTCACTACTAATCTGGCCTTTAATCTCTTGCTTCCATCACTCTTCTGCTTGACCCGGTAGATCCATTTGTTATGTAAGGCCTTTTTCTGTACAGATAGCTGGGCTAACTCCCATGTCTTATTAGTGAGTAGAGAATTCATCTCCTCCTGCATCGCATGCTCCCACTGCTAAGATTCACTCACTTGCATAGCCTCCTCATAGTACTCAGGTTCACTGCTATCTATCAATAATAAGTAATCAAGAGATAAAAGATATCTGAGATTTGGTTTGGGTACCATGGATGACCTCCTATGCTCCACGCCCTGCGTAGTTGCTTCTGCACCTGGAGCCTCCTCTGTTCTATGGTCAGAACAAATATCATCACCCCTATCTGAAAGTTCCTCTAAATCCATGTACTCGGATCCACCTGCATCCGTAGTGCTGCTCCCACTTCTTTGGCTATCTTTGGCATTTTTCCTATTCTTGTACATCACATCCTCATTGAATATCGCGTCCCTGCTTCTAATGATCTTCCTGTTATTCTCATCTCAAAGACGATACCCGAACTCATCAATGCTGTATCCAATGAATGTGCACTTCTGTGATTTAGCCTCTAGCTTGTCTCTGACATGGTCACTGATATGAACATAAGCCACGCAACCAAATACTCGCAAGTGTGAGAGATTTATCTTCTTTCCACTCCAAACTTCCTCTGTAATCCTAAAATCCAATGGAATTGATGACCCGTGATTAATAAGGTAAGTTGTCGTATGCACCGCATCCGCCCAAAATGTCTTAGGCAGACCTGCATGTAATCGCATGCTCCTGGTACGCTCCGTCAAGGTTCTGTTCATCCTCTCTGTAATGTTATTCTAATGTGGCGTCCCTGAAGTAGTCCTCTCTAAACGAATATCATTTATAGCACAGAACCTCTTAAACTCCTCCAGCTCATATTTTTCATCATTGTCTGATCTCAACCACTTCACCTTTAGATCTGTCTCGTTCTCCATCATGGCCTTCCAATTCTTGAA